TTAGGAGCCCAAAATGCTCAAATTTCTCTCCCTGAGTATTTTCAGATCAGCCTTAAGAAGCATCCTCTTGCAGTTCTGAAATACCATTCTCCATCTCTTGTCCAGTCCCACTTTCCTCACTCACACCACATACACTCCAGACGAAGTTATCTAGTGACCCTATTCAGGTCTCTTCCTAGGCAAACACTTGGGCTTGTCTACAGGAAACTCTTGACAGGAAAAGACAACTAGAAAAGAGCTTGGAGAGGTGGGGGCTTCTGAAGTGTTGCTCTTGGGGTATCCACGCAGGATGGATTCTCTTCACTGTCAACATGGCTGAATCTGAAATCACCTAAAAGACATGCTGCTGAGTATATCTACAAAGCCTCCCAGGGAGGCTTAAGAGGAGGGACGATCCACCCTGAATGTGAGAGGACCATCCCGTGGGCGTGAGTCCCATACTAAATCAAAAGGAGAAAGGAAGTGACACAGCAGCACCCATCTCTCTCTGCTTCGTGAGACCATAATGGACTGTATTTCCAAACCGTGAGCCAAAAGAAACTGCTCCTTCTTTATGTTGCTATTGTCAGGCATCTTATCACAGCAACAAGAATCATAACTTACACACCATGCTTGTAGCTGGGTGAGAGGGAGCCCCTCTGCCACCTTTGTCCTTATCAACCTGTGACCTCACCAACGCAGAGCCACCAAGACTGGGCATAGGATACCTGCACAGCCTGCCATTTGCTCACTTTAACTGCCACCTCCTTTCCCCCACTTCCAAAGCTCCAGATCCATCCAAAGATAGACAAGCCAAGGACCTGCTTCACTGAGAAAAACTGACCTCTGTGTCTTCCTGCCACTTGGCCTGAGGGAGTGACTACAGTGTGTACTAAAATTTAGTCATCTGTCACTGAGACCTACCTTCATTTGTATCACAGTACCCCCGTGTGTCTTCTCAGCTGGTTCCCTGTGTTACCCTAACGTCATCTAAGTCCCTAACTAAGCATCAGGCAGAGTCTCCTACCCACTTGGATCCTATAAGGTCTGTGTCACTGGCAGGATGCATGCAGGCAGCTGAAACCCGGAGAGAGAGGAAGAAAACCACAGTGCAGAGCTACCGGGAAATCTAAGTCAACCCATGTGTCCAAAAAAGAATGGTCAGAGGTACACACACTAGATGCCATCACCACAAGTCAACACTGCACAGATGAAACCATCCAGTGATTTAGTGATCTAGAGGCGGCTTCTCCAAAAGGGACAAGAAGGGCACCCCTCCTAACTGGGGTCCCCAGGGTGAGATCCCCTGGAGTGTGTCTCTCTGGGAGTTTCACTTGTACAGGTCAGAGAAGATTGATGGTTATTCTTTGCTACTGTTTCAGATATAAACTGTTTTCTGCTTAACTCCAACTCATACATGTGTGATGATAACCATGCTGACTCTGTATTAGAAAATGAACATACTATGTTCACAGTTCACAGTTAACAGTTTTAACTGTCTTGCCCACCAAACACTACATACGTATACATTCAACAGCACATAGAATCTCCATGATGTAATCTGATGGAGACCTCAGAAATGCTCCATATAAATATTGCTCTCAGCAATCTCTGTCAGTGGCAGCTCCAACCTCCAACTCCCAATGACTCTTCCCTTCTCCACCCAAACTTCAATCCCAACAGGATCTTGCCCACAGACAACCTTTCAGCCATAGACCTCACACACACAGTAAACCACATTTATTCTCCTGCTTTTCAAAACCCAGCACCCAGCAACCTTCCATGAAACAAAGGACCAAGGGTCCCTGATGGTGGATGTTCTTCTGTATATGTTTCTCTTATTGGTTGATGAATAAAGCACTAGCTGGCCAGTAGCCAGGTAGGAAGGATAGGCAGGGCTGCCAGACGAGGAGAATGTGGGGGGAAGGAGAGAGAGGCTGCAAAGAGACACCATGCCGCTGAAGGAGTAACATGCTGGATTTCGGGTAAGCCACAGCCTCGTGGCAATACATAGATTAATAGAAATGGGTTAATAATTAAGACAGAGCTATCCAATAAGAAGCCTGAGCCATCAGCCAAACATTTTATACTTAATGTAAGTCTTTGTGTGTTTATTTGGGGCAAAGAGGCTGTGGGACCAGGCAGGACAGAAACCTCCATCGACAGGTGCCAGTGTAGATTTCAGGTGGCTGGGACAGCAAGGCTGACTCAGGCCCTAGATATCTTTGTCCAAGAGAACAAACAACAAGTTGCATGTTGCTCATGACTTTGTTGGTCCGGGTGACTATTTTCCCAGTTAGAGTACATCCTTCCAAACCATCAACTGGACTTACAGCCACTGCTAGAGGAAAGCAAGAGATACTTCCTCTCTTCACCCTGTTCCTGATAGGCTGTCTGCTTGTAACAGAGGTGGGGAAGAGAGTCCTTCTTCCATCACGAATATTCAACATGTACCTATCACAGGGTATGCATTTTTAAGTGGCAAAAAACCCTAATATATGTCCAAAATGTTCTACATTACCTGATAAGGAGAGATATGGCTGTGTTGTCCTGGAAGGCTGACTTCACCAGATTTAGGAGGGAGAGAAGCAATCGCTGCAATAGAAGAATTTTTTTAAATACATGAATTTTTTTTAAGAAACCAAGTTGCATATTTTAATAATTAATTAGGATTTCTAAGTAAGCAAAATGTGTTCCTATGTAGTTCTGGCATAAAATCATCTCTGCAGTTTAGATCTGAGATGTCCCTCAAGGCCTTGTATTAAAGACTTGGGCTATTGGAAATGATGGGTCCTTGAAGGGGCGGAGCCTAGTGGGAAGAAGTTGGGTCATAGGGAAGACGTCCTTAAAGAGAATGTTGGACCCCTGGCCTCTTTCTGGTCCATTGAGCTAATACTCCCTCCATGATGCTCTGCTCACCACAGACCCAGGCCTTTGAAATCGTGAGCCACAATGAACCTTCCCTGCCTGTCTTAGCTGTTTAGCTCAGTACCCCACAGGTGATGGGAGGATAACATTACTGTGAATACACAGCTGTTTATCTCTTTACATCACATAAGCTTAAAACTCTGTGCTACAAAAATAAGGGAAACTGATGCAAAAGATCAATTCTTTCCTTCACGTGTTGGTCTTATGTAGACACAAGAGATGACCCACAACTTCAGTAGATCGACTGAGGAAAATAAACACAGGACACATTGAAGGTGGGGCAGAAGAGGTTGGGTTTAAGCCATGATTTTGGCCAAGCTACTTGCAAAATGCTCACAACACTAATGAATACACAATAGCAAGAAATCCTCAAAGGAGCTGGGGACTTCCCAAATGCGGCAGCTCATGCTTTGTGGAAACTTTTAATGTGACACGTGGAACTTGGAGTGCACAAGGGAGGCAGCCTGGGTGAAGTCAAAGAATGGGGATACTGAAAACAGAGCCCCAATCTTAGCAAGGGCCAACCAGCTGAGGGTCTTTCCCTGGCTGAAACTCCCTCTAGATGCTGAGGGCTGGTGTGTGCCGCCGCCCTCTTGCCTCACCCTTTCACACCCTACTGCTGTGACAGTGCCTACAAAGTCCCTACCCCATAGTGACTACTGAAAGTGAAACTGTGAGATGACTTCTCAGAGTAGTTTAGCCTTCCAACAACTGTCCTGTCTGACTGATCGGGCGCAGACTCTTCTGCGTGACAGTTGTACTTGAATTGGGTTAAGTTTGGAAGAGATCGCCTGCAGTAACTTACAGGACCATCCCACGATTTTAAAGGAGAGTAAAAGCCTTGAAAGTTATCTTTTTAACGTTCATTTTATTTAAGCATTAAGCAGAGAGAGCTTTACTGCTAAATCTACTCCCAACTCTAAAACTTCTCCTGAAAAGATTATCTAAACACTGATTGCCCCCAACATCTAGATTTTCCTGCTAGAGAAGCTGGTGTTGAGGCAGTCCACACATCTTCCTCTGGAGGTCTTCCTGAGCCCCTCCTGGTACTCACATGCAGCCCTCACTTCGTCCGAACTGTACCCATAGTTTTCCTTTCCACTTTTTAACCTTGCCTCGGGATCTGTTTTGTTTGGCTTCATGCTTGCAGTTTTCCTGGAATTAGAGCATTTTGGTTACAGCCTCTGCTCAGCAGCGGTAGGCAGCCCATGCATTTGTGAACGCCAGTGAGAGGGAGGAACAGGGTTCATCGTGGCAGGTGTGGGGACTCAACTCCCAAAAGCCCCTAAGCAAATCAGGGTTCAGTAACCGAAACCCCTGAGCCCAACTGTTGTTCCACCATCTGTTGTTGAAACCCAGGGACACGCGCTTGACACCACAGCTTCTAGCAGCTGCCCTCATGTCACAGTAACAGAGCCCAGTGGTCGTGCCAAAGACTTCATGGCTGGCAAAACCAAAAGTATTTACTGTGTATCCCTTTGTACAAAAAGCTGGTTGATCCCCAAAACAGAGCAGAGATCAGTGCATCTCCCTACGGGAACAAAGTTGGATAATGGCTAGCCAGAAAATGAAAAATGTTCATACTCAACTCCCAAGAGCATCTCCCAAAAACAATCATGATATATGCAAAGGTCTGCCTGAAAGATGACTCACATGCCGGGCGTTGGTGGTGCACGCCTTTAATCCCAGCACTCAGGAGGCAGGGGCAGGCGGATCTCTGTGAGTTCGAGGCCAGCCTGGTCTCCAGAGTGAGTGCCAGGCTCCAAAGCTGCACAGAGAAACCCTGTCTCGGGAAAAAAAAATGACTCATACATGAGCCACAGACAAACCAAGGGGCCAATATCAGTAAGTCACCCTGACATCACCTTGACCACGCTCATTAGGGTGTGGTCGGACACACCTGTAGCCAGCTTCTAGCAGGTATGGCTTACAGTCTCCCCTACATGGTTATTTGGGGGGGGGGGTTCGGGACAGGGTTTCTCTGTGTAGCTTTGTAGACCAACTCACAGAGATCTGCCTGCCTCTGCCTCCCGAGTGCTGGGAGTGCCCAGCTGTATGGTTATTTTAACACAAAAATACAAGTGGCTGGAGACAGCAATGTGGACAAATGGGAAGGAAAAGGCTTGGAGATGCAGACAGGCTGTGAGCCACCATCATGCTCCCAGGACAAGGCAATCTGTTCTAAACCAGGAGCTGCACATAGGTGAGGGACCTGGCTGGGGCAACAGCTGCCCTGTCTACATGCCTGACTCTTCACAAGCAGAATGTTAGAAATATCACCTCTCTCTCTCTTATAACCCTCAGCCACAAATGGAAAAGGTCTATACAACCATGGCAAGAAACCAGCAAGACTGAAACCTGTGCAGAGCTCAGAGCAGCACCCTACTGTTAAGGGGTGGGTATGAGTGAAACAGAGGGAGGGGTCTTAGACGTTGCCATGGCTACACATGCCTATTGTTATTCTCCACCATTTTGATAAATAACTCTGGATTGCACTACTGTGCCTTGAAATCCTTTAAGATCCTGAGAAGGGAACCAAAGGTCAACCATCAGCCTGCTCATCCGAGGAGGAATCCAGATTGTAACCCCCTGGTAACCATGGGCAAGAGAAATTCCACAACAGGATCTGTTTCCTTGCTCTCCCTCATCTCACATCAGGCCCCAAAGGGCAGTTTCCAGACTGTTACTGCCTGGGCCTCAGAACATAGCTGTCTCTCTCAGAACCTGGTTTGTTTTTTCCACCAGGGACAAAGGGTGAATGGAAAGAACCTGTCATTTGGAAACCATTACACATCCATTCATGGAGCTGTACATAGCCTAAAAGGTTTTCAAATTTCAGAGCCTAGAAACTTCATATTATTTAATAAACACTGGCTCCTAGATGTAGTTGCAGACACTTTCAGCCAAAGTGCTACATTGAAACATTCTGGGTGACTGTGACAGACATTCACAGCGGCCACCATGTATCCCTGTGAACATACTGGTTACCATGTATTCCTGTGAGCACATCAGCTAACATGTATCCCTGTGAACTTACCAGCTACCATGTATTCCTGTAAACACAATGGCTACCATGCATTCCTGTGAACACACCAGCTACCATGTATTCCTGTGAGCACATCAGCTACCGTGTATTCCTGTGAACACTCTGGCTACCATGTATTTCTGTGAGCACATTGGCCACCATGTATTCCTGTGAACACATCAGCTACCATGTATCCCTGTGAACTTACCAGCTACCATGTATTCCTGTGAACACATCAGCTAACATGTATCCCTGTGAACTTACCAGCTACCATGTATTCCTGTAAACACAATGGCTACCATGCATTCCTGTGAACATATCAGCTACCATGTATTCCTGTGAGCACACTGGCTACCATGTATTCCTGTGAGCACACTGGCTACCATGTATTTCTGTAAACACAATGGCTACCCTGTATTCCTGTAAACACAATGGCTATCATGCATTCCTGTAAACACACTGGCTACCATGTATTCCTGTGAACACATCAGCTACCATGTATTCCTGTGAATACACTAGCTACTATGTATTTCTGTGAATATACCAGCTACCATGAATTCCTGTGAATACACTGGCTGCTGTGTACCCTTGTGAACACAACAGCTAGCATGAATTCCTGTGAATCCGGACTTAGTTGCCTCAAAAGTGTTTGCAGACACTCTGGATGATGTAGGAATGAGAGTCCTTTTCACTGCTGTCTTCTCAGTGCTAGGACAAGCCACAGACAGTGCCTAATTTGTCTACCAGATCAATGCCACATGCCTTATAGGCATCAGTCTGGCAGGGCTGGCTATCCTGCAACATGCCTCAAGTCCCAGTGCAATTTCTGCAGGTGCATTGGCTCAGAGCAAGAAGAACAACAGCTGCTAATAGTCACAGTGCACAGTGTCCTCTTGTGGAGAGAGCTGAAAATGCTAGGTGCTCAGCAAACCTCCATCTCCGTAGAGAGCCTAAGCAAGTCCTCTGTAGACAGTTTGCCCAAGGTTGCTTTATGGGTTTGTGATTGGCTTATGTTTTACAAAATGTCTAATCCCCCAAGCCCTATAGTCCCATGCTTGAATGTTGCCATGGTTACTTGGTTTTGTTTTGGCAGAAAGCTGAAGAGGTTTCCAACTTACCTTATTTCAATTTGATAACTAGATTCTGAAAAATAAAAGAGGGTGGGGAAGAAAAATCCCATTAGCAAAATGAGGATAGTGGTTCTAAAAGTAACTCTCATTAATTTTTATTGACTCTCTGACTTGATAAATCTCACTTTGACTCAGTCTGTATTCAAGGTAACCCTGCACTGAATCAGGAAAATCCTAAGGTCAAGGAAAACAGGTTCAGTATCAGAAAAATAAATACTCTGTAGGTGCTTGAAAGATAGTAGATTTCCTTGTGTGCCCAGTGAGTGCTGATTGAATTTGACACCCAGTGTTTCACAACTCTGTCACCAAGAAGGACTTTAGGTAACCAAGCCAGCCACACTAGTCATTGGTTGCTTACTGTGTGCCAGCCCACTAGAACCATGCAAAGCATGTCCTATTGCAACAGTCCAGGATATAGACACCAGTGTTGCTCTATTCTAACAAACAAGACACCATAATGCTGATTTATCTTCATTCCTTAATACTAAGATCCATTTTCCATCAATTTTATATGCATGAGCAATACCAATTCATATCATTGAGACTACACACACAACAACAACAAAGCTGCCATCCCTTCCCTGGCCAATGGTACCAATCAGTGGACTCTTGCAAGGATAAGGAGGAATCCAGATCTAAAACTCCACTTCTCCCCAGTCGGTGTGCAGAATTCATGCTCTTCACATCTCCGCTCTCCCAACCAGGCTCTGCTGGGGTCTGGAAAACATCACTTTCCTTTCCTATTGTTTTTTTAGGTATTAGTCCCACCTGTTTCAAATTCTAATAACATCATCCAATTCAGATCTCAGACTAAACTCAGAACCACTTTTATCTGCATAATAAGAAACTCTAGTCTCCCTCCATCAGTACCCTCCAATAGTGGGATGAGCCACATGTTCCCACTCAGGTGGGAATGGTGCAGGATTCTGGGTCACTCTCTCCACTCTGCCATTCCAAGGCCTATGAGCAGGGTCAGCAGGACCCTCAGCCATCCTCAGTCAGTTCTCAATTAACCAGAGACACATGGAGAATTCCCTGGGTGCCAGCAAAGCACCAGAAAACACTCCTGGAGGGGAAATGTTTGCTACATTTTATGGATTGAAATTATATCATACTGGGGAAGCTCAGAAAGTCACTGATTTTTACATGTATGCTACTGTGTGAGTATAATTTCACTGTAGCCACATCTGACCTGGTGGTATAGGGCAAACACTGTAAGTAGGTTATGGCACATCTCTGTTCACAGACCCAGACTTGTTGTGACAAGAGAGGGAAAGAAATAGCTCATATTGGTGTGGGCTTTTCACATGGAAATTACTTTATGTAATTTCTATGTAAATCTAAGATGCATCACAGAAATATTTTAAGGTGGGGTCTTACTATGCAACCACACTGGCCTGTAAATTACTCTGTAGGCCAGGCTAGCCTCAAAGTTGTGACAACCCTCCAGCCTCAGCTTCCTGAGTACTGGAATTACACACATGAGCCACTGCACTTGGCTCAGGACTCTTAATGCACATTTTTAAAATTTTTATAACTAATCTGTAGGATGACATTTACAGAAAAGCAAACTAAAAAAAGAAAGAAAGAAAGAAAAGAAACCACTCAGGCTGTTTATAGAACAACACCCACCAACCAACCTTCTTTCAGGGCTAATATGGGGCAGACAGGAGCCTAAGAGAAGGAGAAAACCTCAAACATCAGAACTTCTCCGCCAATTACATGAATGCTATAGCAAGAATCCCCAACCCATAGTACCTTCTTGATGACATGGAAGACCATTTCAACCATTCTAATTTAAAACTCAGTACACAGCATGTGAGGAATGGGTCTGTTGGCCAAGCAAAATTCTCATTTTGAGTTCACAGGCTCTCACTGCTCTCCAACTTCCATTTTCCAAGGAATAAAATTAACTTCCAATAACCCAGCCACAAAAAGACAAACATGATATGTACTCACTCATATGTGGATTTTAGACACAGAGTAAGGGATTACCATCTTACAGTCCACACTGCCAGAGAAACTAGTAAACAATGAAGACCCTAAAAGAGACAAACTTTTGTCCCCTGGAGAAGGAGAAAGGGTCACCATCCCCTGAGCAAATTGAGAGCATGGGAAGAGGGGGGAGGAAGCTACGAGAGTGAGAAGGGAAGAAAAGGAAGGGTGCAGAGGTCATGAGGAAGCAGAAAGGTTGAGTCAGGTGTAGATTAGAAGAAAGGACATATGACAGGTAGGGCTTTCCTTGGGGGGGGGGAGGGGAGGAGGGAAGGGGGAAGGGAACTGGGATTGTCATGTAATTCAATCTTGTTTGTAATTCAAATACATAAAAAAATTAAAAAATTAAAAAAACAAATTAACCTCCAAATCAAAGCCTGATCCATGAAGGAGCTACAGCCAGACCCCATCCTTATGCTAGATCATGGGATTTATCTGGCATGTCTAGCTGAGAAAGGGAGATCAATGGAAAACAGTCAGTAGATCACACCTGGCACACACACACACACACACACACACACACACACACACACACACTGTTCACAAATTTAACAAGGCAAGTCAAGTGACAGGCACCCAAACATCAAATCTCAGCTCTTACAAAAAATAATTTAACTGTAGAAAGTGTTCAAGTCAGAGAAAAGACAAAGATTCAGCATTTAGAGAGCTCTGGGCTGTCACATGTCAAATCATGTGACAAGTTTCGACTGTCAAACTCTGTAACAAGCCCCCTCATTCTAGAACCCAACCTCCAGACCAGCCACAGCTTCCACACAGCCGGGAGTGTCTCTCAGCAGTCTCATTCATGAGACCTGTGCAACATTTCCACTAACTTAGCATGTGCCTTGTTTTCCTTTTAACCTCTGCAGCCACCCTCTACACTGGGACGGTTTAAACACCACAGAATAGGAAAAGCATGTTCCAACCAATGCCATTCTAGAAAAGCAATTTCATGTTAAAGGACATATTGCCATAGCTGTCTATCCTTGCAAATAAGTTCACAAGTCAAGAAATCCACATCTCAGCAAGAAAGTCTCATTGGCCACCTTCTCCAAGGTGGGTCAGCCTGGGCCCTAGGGGAATGGCCATCTCTTCCCTGTACTCTTCCCATAGTTCGTGTCAAAGACTGAAAGCCTTGCCTCTTAGCGTCAGTTTTGCTTTGCTCAGCATCCCTATTACCTCTGTCCCAGCTCATTAAGGCAGAATAGGAGTGGCAAATGTGTGTGTGTGTGTGTGTGTGTGTGTGTGTGTGTGTGTGTGTGTTTATAGGTACTGTGTGAGTAGACATTGGGAAGTACTAGATGAAGCTGACCATATAATCATCATTCCATGCATGCATCACTTTTTAATGGGAAAAAAACATTAAAGATGTATTTTCAAGTCATGATATGTTGTGACTAATACAGGTCTCCAGAACACATTCGCTCCATACAAAGCCTTGGATCCTGTAACCAGCATGGCCCAGTCCCTCATCCCTAACTCTGGAAACCACCAATCCACTTAGCTTCTGTGTGCCCAACTGTTGAGTATGCCACAAACGCGCAAGATCCCTCCACACTTGTCTGTCTATACCTGACTCATTCCTCTTAATGTATTCAATTTCATTACGTTGTCCCACATAACAGGACTTCTGCGCTTTAAAAGCTAAATGGTATCCCCTTGTGTGAATAAATGTTATGTGTATTATAGAAGTGTATGTTCATATATGTGTCTGTGTGTTCATGTGTATGTATGTATATATTCATGCATGTATGCACATGTGTTCGTGTGTGTATGTATGTGTGTGCACATGTGTGTTCATATGTGTATTATGTGTAGCACATGTGTGTAGCACTGCCATTACAAGTCATCAGTTGATGGGCACTCAGCCTGTTTTGATATCTATCATGAACTGCTCTGCAGTGAACATGGGAAGGCATACGTGTCTCTGAAACACTTGTTTCGTTCCCTATGGATATTCAGCCAGCAAGGAAGACAGTTGGATCACACGGAATTCCACTTTTAGTCTCTAAAGAACCTCTATGTCATTCTCCATGGCGGCCATGCCTGTTCACACTCCAGCCAACAGTGTGTATGCCTCCCTTGCCAGCTCTTGTCCTTTACGTACATGATGGTAGCCATCTGCTGGGTGCTGTGAGGTCTCACTAGAGTGGAACTCATCTTTCAAAGAAGTTGATAAGCTCACTCCCTTCAACTGCTTGTACCACAAGTTCTAAACCCCACAGAAATTCATATGGAAAAAACAATACCTTCTTTTTCTCTCCTGCAGACATCGCAGCAGCAGAATATTACAATCAGAGTGATGATCAGGATCAAGAGCAAGGAAAAGGCCACTGCCAGCAGGACAATGGCCCAGGTTGGCAGCGATGAGCCAGTACTCTCTATGACAGCAAGAAATAAAGGAGTTTAGTGACATCCATACCTTGTAGGCTCACTGGTTCTAGTGGGATCTAAATTGCCTTGTGTCTTCAATAATATCATAACTCTTCAGCCTACTACAGCGGGGCATTCTCAGTCAGCCTCCCTCCTGTGTGTTTAATGACTCAGTCCTCAACAGTATCTCCTATCCCAGTATTTATTGGCACAAGTAATTGCTTTGAAACCCAGGTCCACTTATCAGTGGGTTGAACCTCCCACATTCCTGGGAGCTGGGTAGGGGTAAGGCAGCAAGGCAACTGCCAAAGGTTAGAGTTCTGATTACCATGCTGGACAGCCTTTGGTTAGCCAGAACTGTTGAGTAGACAATGGTGGGTTCTGGCATCCATGTTCTGTGATTATGTAGAGCAAAGGTAATAGGAACACCCTACAGGAGCGCAAAAGACCCTATATACTCAGCTTTCCCCAAGGCCCCACCAGAGCCTACCCCTAAATGCATTTCTCCTATAGTCGTGTGCATTTCCCTCAGGTCTTGTGGGGCTGATGTCATTAGTGCCTTACTTCACCCTCTTATTTTATCCAGTAAGGCATGGAGTAAGACAAAGGTAACTTGAGGCAGAAAAAGCAAGGAATGGAAGAAAAATATGGAAGGAAATTTTAAAAATGGCCTTGGTTCTTCGTTGTTTGTTTGATTTGTTTTGTCTTTGTAACCACTTTTCAAGAGCTGACATGCTGGCTTTGGGTGGTCATGTAAATTCAATTTTTCATTACAAATGTGTGTATTTAAATATATAGCTCCTTAGTTGTCCTGCCTACATTTCAAGTGCCAAATCAACCCAGAGGGAGCATTTACACCATCCTTGAAAGTCCTGGATGATCCCGAGGGAGCTTTAAACACCTGTTCCTGCCTATATGCCCAAGCAGGAACCACACAGAAGTCAAACCATAGACACCCATGTTGATCTGTAGAACCGTGAGTTGTATTCTATAAGGTCTGCTGGCCTGCCCCACTGGTAGCTCAGTGAAAATAAAGTAGAGGCTAGTCTCTAGAAAGTTTAAAATAACAGGCTTCCTCTGCAGGGACGTGGAGTTCACTTTGGAACCAGTGGCAGGGGAGGCTAATGGGGAAAATCTCTCTTGGGAGCTCTCCTCATAGAGAGTAGAATGTTTAGAAAGGATCACTTCTGCCCCGGTTCTGAGACAAGAGTAAGCAAGAGCCCAGATGCAAAAGAAGCCACAGGCAAGCAAGAGCCCAGGTACATGAGAAGCCACAGGCAAGCAAGAGCCCAGGTACATGAGAAGCCACAGGCAAGTCTAGAGAGGAGACTTGGCAGCTAACAGTACTTGCTGCTCTTGCAAAGGACCAGAGTTCTGCCCCACATAGCACAGCTCATAAATGCATATAACTCCTGCTCCTGTGGGATCTGAGGCCCTCTGTGGGCATTACACTCATGTGAGTATACACACACACACACACACACACACACACACACACACACAAATGATGCCAGGTGGTGGTGTTACAGGCTTTTAGTCCCAGCACCCAGGAGGCAGAAGCAAATGATCTTTGTGAGTTCAAAGTCAATCTGGCCTATAGAGTGACTTCCAGGACAGCCAGGGCTATACAGTGAAACCCTCAAAAAACAAAAACAAAAAACAAGTGCAACAAATGCATAGACTTTTCTGAAAACAAACCAGGGAACTGTATGTGCTTTGGAAAATTGTATGATACCTTAAAAGATACCTGTTTTTGCTCTTCATGAATTGCTTCTGTTTCTTTATTTCAGAATTAGAAAATGTTGGACAATTTTGATGGTTGTTTTATTTTTTTAAGATTTTATTTATTTATTTTGTATACAGTCTTCTGCCTGTATGCCAGCAGAGGGCACTAGATCTTATTCAAGGTGGTTGTGAGCCACCTTGTGGTTGTTGGGAATTGAACTCAGGATCTCTGGAAGAATAGTCAGTGCTCTTAATCACTGAGTTATCTCTCCAGCCCGGTTGTTTCATTTTTTAACAGCTTACGTTTTCTGTCATTTCAAACTGCTGCTGTTTCCATTTCTTCTTAGGTATCTTCTACGATCTATACTGGTCCTAACTCCTTTCAAATCAAGTGTTGTGTGTTACATTCCTTGTACCCCACACACCTGGGATGTACTAGTTATGATGGAAGGTGGATAAATGACAGGTGGATGTGTGGGTGGATGGATAGATGGATGAGAGAGGAATGAGTAAGTGAGTAAACAGTTAGATGGGAATACAGAAAGATGGGTGACGGATGGATGAGTGATAAATGGATGAGTGATGGCTGGATGGGTGGCGGATGGCTGGTCAGAGAGATGGATGGACAGACGGATGGACGGATTAAAAAGCTGAGTTCTTACCTGCTTCCTGCACTGGGAAGTCAGCTACACTGAGGCAGGCCTAGACCTCTTCTTTCTCCCCATGTTGAGATATACAGAGAAGAATTGCAGGATGTAGGAAGTCCAAACTACTTTTCTAATGCCATCTATTGCCACCTTACCCAATGTCTCTGTGAGATAAGATAGGAAAGAGAGAGAGTCCTGCCCTACACAAAGAACTATAGGCAACTGGGGAAGGCTGAGAGCAGGAAAATCAGTCTTCCCCGGGGAGGAGCACATGGAGCAGTCAGATTCAAAACCTCCTCCAGACCCTAAAAGAGACAAACTTTGTCCCCTGGAGAAGGGGAAAGGGTCACTATCCCCTGAGCAAATTGAGAGCACGGGAAGAGGGGGAGGGAGCTACGGGAATGAGAAGGGAAGAAGAGGAAGGATGCAGAGGTCATGAGGGAGCAGAAGGTTGAGTCAGGTGTAGATTAGAAGAAAGGATATGTGACAGGTAGGGTTTTAGTTGGGGGTTGGTAGGGGAGGAAGGGAGGGAGAAGGGAACTGGGATTGTCATATATTTCAATCTTGTTTGTAATTCAAATAGAGAGAGAGAGAGAGAGAGAGAGAGAGAGAGAGAGAGAGAGAGAGAAATAAAATCAAAACCTCCTCCAGTGAGGCAGAGTCAAGAGGTCTGCAAAGGCACCCCAGATGCTTCACGTGCAAGTGGCTGGTGACCCACACTTTGGGAATGATGTTCAAGTCACTCTGCCCCATTATGGGATATGTCTATGTTTCCCTTCCCAAGAACACAATACTGAGATTACAAAGGCCAGAGCTACATTTTTGACTCTCACAGCACAGATGAGAAGCAGACTTCTATCTACATGGAAGCCTCTTAACTGTCAGCCATGTTGGACTTCCCACCAGAGGACCCTGTTTACTTTCTGAGTTGTCTTTGGCCTCTGGTTCATTTGCCAGTCACAAGTCTTGCTCTGCCAGGTTGTTCTGATTCAAGAATTGTGTGTGAAAGTTTCTGAGGTAGGACTCATGTGTACAAAATCGACATCAAGTTAGACAGACTCTTTCTCAAACCCAAGTTTGCAAATGTTACAAGTTTTCATGATAAGGAAGTTAACTGAGGTTAAACATGAGGCCTGGCTCCTGATGTAAGAGATAGGCTTGAATTCTCCCTACCAAGAACATGTTTATTGATGACTCAAGTATTCCCTGCCTATGGCCTCTCCTTCTCCTACTTGACATCTCAACCTTCTGTCAAACCACACTGGATCCAACAACCTTCCTCAACTGAGTAGAGTGCCAGCTTTCTCCTTGAGTGTGCATGTGTACAGGGGAAAAGCTACTACCTCTTGGGGCTGAGGACTGAGTGCAGAAGGGAATGGGGGACTTCGTATTATCAGGCACTGTCATCTTCCTTAATTCAGCCACCCTACCCAGCCTTACTCAACAGCCCCACATTGAGACAGTGTGGGTATCAGAAGCCAGGTGGTTCATTTTCACTTCCGAATTACTGTGACCATTCTTCCCTGGAAGTCCAGCCTTCCTCAGAATGTCACACTTCAACTCAAATCCCCCCTAGTCAAATCTATCATGTTTGAGGTCATCAGGAAGCATAAGTTACAATTGGGACTGCACAGGTGTCTTATTTTAATAATGTTTTTCACTTATCATCTGTTACATATATATGTATGCACATGTGTTCTTCTATACATATAAAACATGGATTAATTTTTTTTAGTAGAAGGTTGCAGGTGGGGCCATGCTATTCACCTGAAGATTTCTTTGTTGGGCATGATGGGGTGTTGTGTTGTTCTTTCCTCCCAATTGAATGATCCCTCTTAGAAAAAGAGAGAGGACCATAACACTCAGAAAGGTAAGGAAACTTGCAGGACTCACAAGGTTAGCCTTCTTCCCAAAGGCTACATAAGCTGCAACAATTTCACGGAGGACCCTTCAATGGACCTGCCTGCAAGTTGGGCAGGGAATTCCAAGGATACAGTGCTCCTGAATCATTTTGAGTCATTGGTGCTCCTGTGAGTAACCCCAATGAACTCCTTGGTACATCACCAGTGTCCTATCTGGAGGGAGTAAGTGTGGTAATATCTTTCTTGCACAAATAAAGCCTGCCCGGGGATCAGAGAAGGAGCAAGCCACAGCACACCTTACCTCCTCAGTGTCTCAGCAGAGAAAAAGAGCAATTTCCTATTTCTCCCTGCTTATATACTGTTTCTGCCCAGCTACATCACTTCCTGTCTGTCTATGCAGACCTCCAGACCTCTATGGTTAGCTAGTGGCAAGCTCCATTCTCTGACCCCCAGACAGGCTTCATTTGTGCAAGAAAGATATCACCACAAAGTAAGCATTCGTTCACATCTCTCCCCAACAAATGATGAAGGGGCTTTGCCTTCTAACATGGCTGTCTGCTACCCCATAGGTTTGTGATTTCAGTAACTAGGAAAGTTGGGTTTTCTATAACTGAGAAACCAGCTGTGGATACAAGCATTGGTTTCCCACATGACTGCTTCAGAGGAGCTTTTGACCTCTAGAGCATAGCATACTTTGTGATCCAAATCCATTGGGCTTCCTAAACTCAATCTAAGAAGCCTTGTGGTGCAGATGTGGGCACGGAACTGATGTCCCCATCCCCAAGGGAGTCTGTAAACTCTCACAGGTAGCTCACTTCTCCACCCTCCACAAACTTGACTCCAGCTCCTCTAGCTCCACAGCCAAGGTTGAATGAGGTCTGCAACTAATAAAACTTGCATAAAACACACAACATGGAGCCAGACACCAGCTGCTGTGATCTTGATGAATAATTTAGAGACGAATTACCCTTTTGCAAATGAGTCCAATAAAGCAAGGCTCATTGCTGCCCTCCTGCAGAGTCCCTTCCCGGCCCTCCAGCCTACAGATGCTGTAATTAAGGTGCAGTCCCAGTTAAGAAAGAACCCGCTGATGGGGGGGGCATGAAGCACCCTTCCCTTCTCCTTTCCCTTCAGAAGATGGCAGAGAGCTAATCTGTAAGATTCATTTCTAGAAGGGGCCATCCCTCAAGCTAGAGCATTGCACTGCCTCATTATCTGGGTGAAATGTGGGTTTTCAACAGTCAGTTCTGGTCTATTTGGTGCCAATGGCATTTTATCTTTCAGTCTTCCCAGTCAATGACTGGACCAGATTTCATTGTCCCTAAGTAGCTTACAGGAGAGCTGGGTTGGACATGGGCAAAGAAGGTGAAAATGGAGCATCTGGTTGAGCCCAAAAGCTAATAAGAAAATGTCAGGACACCTGTGGGGGGGGGCAACCCTGGACTAAGCTGAGCATCAAGAAGAATAAGGACAGGAAGATATTATTATAATAGACAGAAAAAAACTGAATTTTTATGAGAGAGAGAGAGAGGTAGACAGAGAGATGGAGATATGGATAAACACATGCTTATGGAAGCCATGAGAAAATGAAGGCTGGGGGTTAGAGGGCTACTTCCATAGCCAAGGAAGACTGAAATAGAAAAAGGGAACTGAAAAGATTCCCGCCTCCTTCCAGGACTCCCTTCCTCTTCCTCTTCCTCTTCCTCTTCCTCTTCCTCTTCCTCTTCCATATGACGAGGGGTTTACTGTGAGTCTCCAGGGCTGGGGTGACTGGAGTTGTAGTCAGTAGTAGATCCCTTACCTGGCAGATATGAGGCCCTGGGTTTATGCTCAGCACCACCCTTTCCTCCACAAAATTCAACTAAATCTCCATGTCCTACCATATCAGCACTGTACCCCTGAACCCCTGCCCGTGCCAGCTCAGAGCTCACAGGAGCCACAGGTTAGAGTTTCTGCCACGTCACAGTATATTCCTCTGGAAGACAAAATGATGTGATGTGCCCCTCTGTATGCTGCAAATATATTTCATTACCATTTGGCTAATAAAGAAGCTGATTTGGCCAATGGCCAGAGAGAATATAGCTAGGCAGGAAATCCAAACAGAGACACAGAGAGAAGGAAGGCAGAGTCAGGAAGACACCATGGAGGAGTAAGATGCCAGAACACTACCAGTAAGTCACAGCTACATGGTTGATACACAGAATAGCAGAAATGTGTTACTTTAATTGTGAGAGCTAGTCAGTAATAAGCCTGAGCCATCAGCCCAACAGTTTGTAATTAATATTAAGCCTCTGAGTGGTTTTTCGGGAACTAGAGGGCAGGAGAGAAACATCCAATTAAAACACAAAAAAAACTTTAAAGTGTTGCTATGTAGTCAGTTAGACAATAAGATGCTGTTTTGGTTTTTCAAGACAGAATCTCACTTTATAAACCAGACTTCCCTGGAACTTACTACATAGTCCAGATTGGCCACAAACTCTCAGCAAGCCTACTGCCTCCACTCCTGAGTGCTAGGATTATAAGCAGTAGCTACCACACCCAGCTTTATTTTTGAAAAACATTAAGTATTTGTCTCTGAACCTGCTGCCTTCTTATCTACGTGGTAGACAGGGCTTTTCAGTTCATTTGCAACTAGGAAACATAAAAACTCTTAAGAAATTATGAGGGCAGGTGAGATCATAGACTCACTAAGTTCACAGCACTGGACTTACCTCATTGCTCTCTCCACCCAACATCAAGGTCATAGTCCAAGTTGGCCATGTATATGTATGTTGACCAAGAGCCTGACCCTCCCATGAACTGGGAATGGTTTACTCCATAGCTTCCTGGCTGGCGCGGCTCACTTACCAGGTGGCGGCTGAACCACAGTCAGGTTGACAGTTAAGGACTTGCTAGCCTGCAGGTTCTTCAGCTCTGCCACACAAGTCAAGGTCCCATTGCCCAGCGGTGTGAGAGCCAGGACACTCAAGGCACTCGTAAAGTCACCCGGTTCCAGAACAGAATAGTAGCTGAAATTGCTTACCGGGACCTCAAGCTCCCAGGAAATATCTGGGAGTGGGGTCCAGCCCAGGGCATAGCAAGTCACCTTACAGGGTTCACCCTCTGTGACCAGAAGGCTGTCGCTAGGAATGTTCAGGGTCCCCATAACTAAAGAGAAGAGAGAAACAAGCTAAAGTATAACAGCCTCCTGATTTTCCCAATTTTTGCTTCAAATTACATCTCATGAGACTTCCTTCCCAGGCCTCAGGAAGGCTGTGTCTGTCCCAGGAAACCATAGTTCAGGTTTCATCTGTCATATCTATGTGCACCTGCTGGGTTATTACAAGCAGGCGATGTGTCTCCCAAGAATAATGAGAAATAAAAGCCAACGACCTCCAGCATAGAGCTACAGGATTCTCTTAGGCAGTCCTGGAAACAGGAGCAAAGCAGGAAATATTCTGTATTCTTTTCCCAGAGACTTGTAAATAGCAAATCTCTTCCCTTAAGTCTGAGCCAATCACCTTCATTTTATAATTTGGAGTCATAAACTTTTTTTGTCTTTTGTTTTGTTTTGAGACAAAATCTCATGTAGCCAAAGCTGGTCCCAAACATCACTCAAAGTTGGCTTTGGATTCCAGATCCTCTTGCCTCCAGCTCCCAAGGGCAGGGAAGACAGGCATGTGCACCCAGTAGTAAACTTTAAAAAAAGAACTGCCTTGGGTATTCTGTTAAAATGCATTTCTAGTTATAAGTTATATCAAAATCAAATCTATTATGAACTGAATTAACCCAATCAAGTTTCAGAATTATTGACTTAGATCAATGTTTCCTTAAAGAGCCCCCAGTTGCCAATGGCAGCATTCACACTGCAAGTAAGCCATCCGAAAATGATGTTTACTTGTGCTGACAATACCAAAATAACCTGAAGGTTGGCCCTGGCAAAGACACAGCCTTAGTGACATACATATGCATTCAAATGTTGAAATTCAAGCATGCTACAAGGCACCATTCCCAGATGCTTGAGATAATGGAAAGAACACAGGACTTGAACGGAAAACTCCGCTCTCATTCATGGCTCTGCAGCACTACTGCAACACTCAGAGCAAATCACTGAAATTTGGGGACTCGGAGCCCCTATCCCTGTATTTCCTATCTCTAAAGGGGATAATTTGACCAGAATAAACGATCTTCAAACACTTCGGCTTCAGTTCCTCTTTCAAAGCCACCAGAGACTCCAAAGAACTTCCTTTGTGTGGATAGTAGCTACATAAATTGTTCTAAAATATTTACTTAAAAATAACAGTCATAACTCATTACATGTTGATGTAAATGAACACATTTCCATTAAACTGTATTTTTAAACTAATAAAAAAATTATAAACCAAGTGGCAATGTTTATCTATGCAAATCTATGTTATGTTCAGTTAGATTTCCAAGCCAGCAGCTTCATTTGTATGCTACGGGATTGCTTCGTTTGAAGGGAACAGAAAGATATCTGACTTCCCACAGAAGTGCAGCTAGAACAGCACACAGTGTTGAATAACCTTTTTAAATAAGCATGGGTATTCTTTGACACCAGGCAGAAGAAAGTCAAACAGGAGTGTTTTCTTGAAGGGACACTCACTATAGAACCTGAAACCACGATGAGGGCTTTTCCTTCTCTCTTTAGACCATGGCCCTATATGGGATTTGACTGGATTTTTGCCCTTGGGTGATTTGTTTTTATCACTATATCCAAGGATGTGGATGTGCTGGCCTGTGATGTAGAAGACCTTTCCAGTGTGCAGCATGAAGCTCCCTGTGCATGAAGGAGAATGGAACTGGAAAAGAGTCACCTTAGTCACCTCGTCTTAGGCCATTACAAGAAGTCATGCCCTGGAGTGGGGGAGGGCCAGAGTGGCTCTGCCATCCTTCACTCTGAAATGTCATACTTCCTAGGTGCCATCTTAGCATAAGTAAGGTGTCTGCGCTAACCTTAGCACTCCTGTATCTGAGTTAATGAGAGGCAGGTTGGCTTAAATCTGAAGGGCTTAGGCTTTACAAGTTCATTCTTTTGTCAGCTCCTCTGCTTTGATAGAAAGGAGACTCAAGGTAGCAGACAATGGGGGAACCCCAAATGCCTCAGCAGGCAGTCACTTGCTGCCAAGCCTAGTGCAATGAGTTTGAGACCCTAATCTCACATGGTGGAAGGAGAGAACCAACTCCCACAAGTTATCTTTTGATCATAAACACACTGTGTCACATGTGTGCACAATAAATAAATATCAAAAACAAAAAAGTATGATGGCAGGCTGTAGGAGGGATGGAACTGTCTCAGATAATGACAGGGCAAGAGCTCAGGTCCTTCTGGTCCTCAGAGAGCAAAGTGCATCCTACGTATGAGACAATGGCAGCTTGGGCAACAACTGGATCAGTCTAGTAGCCATGTGGAGGATTTTCTGCATATGCAGCTAGGCTTCAGCTTTCCCCAGCCTATACCTCCAGCATCAGAGGAGGCTTCCGCTGGCTTATCCACTATCGTGACAAACACATTATTCAAAAACGGTCTCAGAATAGTCACACAGGTGTAAGAGAACTCAAGCTGGAGTTGTATCTGCTCTATTGAAGCTCGGGGAGGAAAAGTAAATGGGTCTTGGGTAATTTGTGGGCATTTCCTCCTTCTCCAAGATTGTGTCCCTGGGGAAAGTGTCTCTTAGTGTTCCTATGACAACAGTGCTGCTCTGCCCCACTCCTGTCCTTATGCAGGAACTGGGAGAAAGCCTTAATGCCCTGGTCTTCTCTCCATATTAAACCAAAAGCCTCAATAACCACCAATGCATAAAGTTCATGCCAGAGGTATTCAGGCAGATGTGCAGGCTTAGTGCTCTGGGAAACACTTCAGAACTGTGTGTATTTTTCAACTGTACATGTCATGAGCCCAGCAGTACAGAGCCCTGCCTTTCGGCCTCTACTCCCTTGATGCTTGACTGCCTACATCCTTCTCTTGTCCCAGAGGACAGAGTGTGTACTAAGGCCCCCTCCTACAGCCCCCATATGACCTTTTTCTACTCTCTCAGAGATGCCACACACACATCAAGAAAACACTATCTGTGGTCTTTAAAATGTGTCTCTGAGGGGCTGGAGAGATGTCTCTGCTGTTAAGAGTACTGGCTGCTCTTCCAGAGTCCCCAGGTTCAAGTCCCAGAACCCGTGCAGTGGCTCACAACTGTCTGTAACCTCAGTTTTCATGGGACCTGACACCCTCACAGAACGTACATTCAGGCAAAGCATCAATGCTCATAAAGTAAAATGTGTCTCTGAAGATCTGCTGTCCTGAAGCTGTGCGGTGGGGAGGGGGGGTTTGTGCATGCGTGTGTGTGTGTGTGTGTGTGTGTGTGTGTGTGTGTGCTTGTGTGTGCGTGTGTAGAGGCCTGAGGCCAATATTAGATGTCTTCCTTAACCATTCTTCATTTTATTTTTTGAGACAGAGTTTCCCACTGAGCCTAGAGCTCAACAATTTGATTAGTCTGGCTGTCCAGCAAGCCCAAGGACCTGCCTGTCTCCACCAGCTGGAATTGCAGGCATGCACAACCACACCCAGATTTCCCACTTGGGTTCTGGGGGAGGGGGAAATCAAACTCACACTCTTATGTTTGCATAGCAAATACTTTACCAACTGAGCCAGCCCTCTTCTGTTCATCTTTGGATCCTACTGAGTAACTAGAATAGTATGCTTTTCCAGGAATTAAAAAAAATATTCATGTGGTAATTTCTATGAGCCCCACATTATGTAAAGGCTTTCTATTGACCCACCCACCCATGCTACAAAAACCCTAGGGTAAGCACCCCAGAGCCAAGTCACTGTGTGCTTTGTTAAGACCATGTAACTCTAAACAACAAAGATGGGATGGAAACCCAGTCAGCCAGGTTCCCAAGCCCTTGTTTCTAGACCACTCTGGGTGCCTGGCTGGACCACTCTGGATGTCTGGCTGGGCCACTCTGGATGTCTGGCTGGGCCACTCTGGGTGTCTGGCTGGGCCACTCTGGGTGCCCAGCTGGACCACTCTGGATGTCTGGCTGAGCCACTCTGGATGTCTGGCTGGACCACTCTGGGTGCCCAGCTGGATGCACACCAAGCTAAATGGGACAAAGCTTTAGAGTCTTCGTGGTTTTGTCACCTCATCATCACAGTAGATGTGTGAGCTGAGCAGAGGTGCCTCATCCCAATTACAGAGGAAGGAAGAAGCCAGTGCAGGGGTTTCCCTGGCTGACAACTGACAGAGGCTAAAGCAGAACTCATGTCCTGTGTTCTTCCCATTACAACTAAATTACTATCAGAGAACCTGGGCATGCAAACTGGGCCAAGAGTTCTAGATAACCCTGTAAAAATCACTGCTTAGAAAATATAAACCGCATAAATTAAAGATCCCCAAAATAAAGAGTCACCAGTTTTACTCCATTTCTAAAGTAAAAATCATTTTAAATACAAATATATAGGCATGCTTTTCCACCAAATATTATCACATTTGATTTGACAACAGACAGAATCTGGAATTTCACTGGGGTGAGGAAATAAGTAGATATTTTTTTTAAATCTCAAAACCACAGCTTGTTCTCAAGAGAAATGCTGTCACAGAAATAAAAACTCTAGAAAGCTGGGGACACATCTCAACTCAAAGGGAGAGCCCTGGATAGAGACCGCAAGGCCCTGGGCTTGATCCCCAACACAAGAAAAAAAAAAACTGATAGGAAATTGTAATCTACGAGTCACAACCTCTATCAATAATATATAAACTCACTTTCAAAAAGTATAAGGGAGTCATGATTTGGGTAAAACTATCTAAAGCGACATAAAACACTTCCTTTTGCCTCTCTCGCTGTGTAATGATCTTCAGGGGACCAAATGGCCTTTACAGATGAAAAAATGTTACGGTAGCATAGACTAGCGTCTACCCTTTCCTCTCAAGTGCATGACGCATTTGGAGAACACACACCTTTGACTGTAACAGCTATGATCACTGGGGCAAGAAAAATAGATGAGAGAAGTTTAAAGAAAGTAGTTAAAGCACTCTTCCACGTGGATACTGTGTATGACAAAGTATCAGCTGAAACGGTGACTGCCAACTGTCCAAATAAGAGGAGCTGCAACTACAAGTAGAAGAGCTCCAGGAGATGGCTTCAGAAAGGCAATCATCCACCTAGACACACAGGAGTAGACCAGATGGGGAATCGATACACCCATCTCACACGGGGAGCGAGGAAAGGAGCAAGCAAGGAGAGAGTCAAACAGCAAAGGAGGGAGGGCATAGAAGAAAAAGGGGGGAGGGAGGGAAAGAAGAAGGGAGGGGAGGAGGGAGACATAAGCTAAGTCAGCATTCTCTCAGAATATTCAGAACGTGAAGTCTAGATGATGCGTGCAAGAAGGAGTCGGGGATCGAGGGATAAACACAAAGACAGGTAAAACAGATAAACACAAAGCCACCATCAGTTAGGAGTCACAATATGCACCACCATACCTGAGGGTTGGCCCCAAGTGTCACGTCAGAAGGCCCTGCAGCCGGCTCACCTTGCACGGAGAGGAAGGCAGATCTAACCACATTGCTGTTCTGCAGGCTACACTGCACAAGTCCCGAGTCGCCAGGCTGCACGCCTCGGATGACCATCTCGGAAATGAAGCTGTCACTCCCGTTGTAATTGATGGAGGTGAAACGCTCATTGGTGATGATGGTTTCCTGGGACGTGATACTCAGCACCACAACGCCTTTGAGGGACCACATGATAAGCTTCCAGCCGTGGGTCACGGTGCAGTTGAAGCGAGCGTCTGAGCCCTGCAGGACTGTTACATTCTGTGGACCTTCTATGATCTCATAACTGGATCCAGAAGCTAGAAGGCAACCAGGTTTTCAGGGCAGTAAATTAATTAGCTGACATAAGCCAATGACATCATTTAACCCTTGTTTGCCAGTGGTCATGCTCCTAGCATCCATGTGAAGGCTCATCCTCTCTGCCTTATTGGTCCTGAGGCCTGGGACCAGGACTGCTGTAGATAGATACATGGCCAATACATATGTGTTTCTCTTATTGATTGATGAATAAAACACTGTTGCCCAATAAGGCAGGAAGACAGGCAGGACTAGGAGACAAGGAGAATTCTGGGAAAGGTAGGCAGAAACAGACGCCATGTGGAAGGGGAAGAGAGGACGCACCAGGTGTTCTCTGGTAAGCAAAGACCATGTGGAAATATATAGATTGATAGGAATAGGTGAATAATTAAGACAGAGCTAGACAATAAGAAGCCCAAGCCACTGGCCAACAGTTTCATAACTAATATAGCATCCGTGTGTTCATTTGGGGCTGAAGGGCAGCGGGACCAGATGGGACAAAGAGCCTCTCGCAAAAGATAGGGGCCCCGATTCTCCTCCATAGCCTCCAAAGAGGACTCGTCCTGTCCACAGGACACTCAGGACTTACTGCCACAGCAGTAGAACTGGAACCCAAGATCAGGCCTTGCCACCCTGAATTTTGGACTCTTCCCTGGCTCCTGTGACTCAGGAGACCACTGAAACAACATATGCCCTGGCTTCTCTTCACTGCAGCCCATCAGTCAGGATGAGTTACCTTAGTGTTGTATGATCACTGTAGGTCAATATGCTAGCCCCCCATGTATGGGGGACAGGGCAAATGACGGCAGTTCTCCTCACCTTGAAAGGCAGATGTGAGGAGGTCCCTAAAGGAAACTGATTAGAGCCCTGAACATTCCTGGGGCATGAGCCATACAGTGGCAGATAGTCAAACATTAGCACCTCATGATCACCCAGAATGAATTGTGGGGCAGAGCTTCCTTGTTCAGGAACTCACAGATGGAGAGAAGGATTTCACACACACCAGGACCAGCAGAGGGAAGAGTGCCAGGGAAGATAAGGCCAGGAGAGACCAGCTGGCCTAGAAGAGGCAGAGTTAGGAGAAGGCAAGAAGGCACCTGAACTAATTCAAAGGTTGAGTACACACCACCTCTCCCAGGGTATGACAGAGAAGAAAGAAAATGTGTTCCTCACGCCTATTACAGAGTGGATCTTCCCTGTGGCCACTGGGCCAACTCCTACTGATCCACTCCCATCTTGACCATCAGCTAAAAAACAAACCAAAGGTCCCAAGAGAAAAACTAGAAATGACTCTGTATTTGTTTGCTTTCTATTGCTGTGATAAAACACTGACCAAAAGCAACTTGGAAGTGTTTGTTTCAATTTGCATATCTTGGGTCACAGTCCATTAATGGAAGCCAAAGCAAGAGCTGGAGGCAGGGACTGATGCAGAGGCTGTGGAGGAACAGTTTACTGGCTTACTCTCCATGGCTTGCTCAGCCTGCTTTCTTATACCCAGAGGTTGCACTGCCCACAGTAAGCTGGGTCTTCCCACATCAATTATTAATCAAGAAAATGCCCTACAGACTTGTCTATGGGCCAATCAATGAGGCATTTTCTCAATTGAGGTTCCCTCTTTCCAGTTGACTCTGGCTAGCATCAAGGAGACAAAAATCAACCAGGACAGGACAAAAATCAAGGAAGCTACAGACATTCGCTCAACTCTAGCCATGAACCTGGAGTCGCACTGAAGAAAACGACTAACATACATGCCATAGGAAAGAGGAAATCCCAACCCCCATTCATTTTCTGCCCCAGTGTAAGAGGATGAACGGTGACCACACACAGAGCCTCGAAGGCCAAAGGGAAAGGATAGGTGAGAGCCACAGAACCTGCAAGGTTAGAGTGTAGTGTGAGTGCATGCCACCTCATTTTGCTCCAAACACAATCTGTAAAGATGATACCCACTGCCCCAGGGAATGAGGAACCACATAACACTCACAGACCATGCAGATCCATCCTTACACTGCACCTGAACAGGTAGGGGTAAAGCCAGAGGAACCTAGGCCATGCAGAGATTCTTTTGAGTTCGATGCTACCTGTTTTTGGTGCTGTTGTTTTTTGGTTTTGGTGTTAGTTTGTTTTTTGAGACAGGATCTCATGTCTCCCAAGCTGTACTTAAATTTGTGATATAACCAAAGATGACCTTAAACTTCTGATCCTCCTGCCACCAGCTTCTGAGTACTAGAATTACAAGCATGAGCCACCACATCTGGGGCCATGTGACCTTTCAATGAAATAGGTGATAAAGAGCCTTAAGTACAGTTCCCTGACAAGGGCAGCAGCCTCTGGATCCACCAACTGCGCTCAGCTGAACCTGTGAAAAGGAGCAGGCAGCCACAGTGCCCTTCCTCAGTGATTCATCAGTGTTGAGGCCATGGGTGACCTTGCCCACATAAAGCAAACATGAGAAAGCCCTTGCAGATACACCTCTACTCAGCCACACACTTCTGCTCTCACCTTCCTCTCCTCTAGTCTCTCTTTTCCTAGAGAGCAAAGCTAGATAATGGAATGGGATGCTGAGAAAACTCAGGGTGTCCCCCACCTGAAAGTTTTCTGTAGGTGTCACTCAACAAACCTGGGGTGTCTGCTGTCTGCAAGATTCCTTGAGGAGTTTCTTTTCCTTAAGATTTGTAGGACCCACACTCTTCAGCTGGCAGAGGTGGGCTTCTCTCATGCCCTACAGAGTGTGTCTGTAACTGCCCTGCCACCCCTGAACTTAAGCAGGGCCCCTTTTCTTCCCACTCCCTATCCTGACATTAGGATTTGGGTTTAACCCCTAGAACCCACATAGAAAAGCTGGGCATAGTGGTGGTGCATGTTTGTAGTTCCTACATTGAGGAGGTAGAGACAGGAGATTTCCCTGGGGCTCACTGGCCAAAGCAGCAAGTTCCAGGTAAAAGTGAGACACTTTGTCTGTAGAAAACAAGATGGATAACATCCTGAAGAATGACACCCCAGCATGACCTCTGACCTCCACATGCATGCACACACATGCACACCACACAAACACATGCAATGGAAACAATCTCTTAGACATAAAAGACTGCACAGTCTATAACAACCACCTCTCCATTTTCCAGCGTGGCTCCCTTCACACTCTGTCCTCAGTTCACAGCTGCAGATCCCCACACTGCCTCTTTCTTACTCGTAGTGAATGGGAAAGCCGGCTAGACAGGCGGCTAAAGCTGGAAAGAAACAATGTATGGAGAGTAGGGACCAGAAAGAATTGCCTTGGTGATAGGCCTTCAGAAGGAGAGAGAATCAACCATATTATAGGCTGGGGCCCACTGAGGAAGAGTAGAATCAGAAAGAGGGGATCCTGAAAGGAGTCCCAGGCAGGTCTGAACTGTCTGCTGAGCTTCTGGGATGGAGACAGAAAAAGCGAATCACTTCTGGGCCACTTGCTGCACTAAAAACATCCCTGCACCTGTAACCAAGAGAAGTATCATAAAACAGGTACCTGTTTGTATATAACGTCCCCACCCTACCTCCACACTCCAGACATCTGAGAGGCCCATCACTTTGGGTAGACCAGATAGCCCTTCAAACTCATTCCCACAGCAACTTTCTCTGTCTTCAGTTTGTCCCAACTCTACCCTTGGGCCACTGAACCTTCTTAAAATACCAAATTTATCGTCTTTCTGGTCCAGGGCCTTTGCGCATGAACAGCTTGGAATCCAGTCTCACTTGCTCCTGGGTTCCTGGTCAGGTCATATGCCCTGGGGTCACCCTTCCAGACCATTCTGTTTATGTTAAACTGTTCTACCATGGGCTCTCCACTGAGAAGTTTCTTCAAAGCAATTGCCACAATGGTTGGCTTCTTTTTTTTTTTTTCTTTGCTTTATTTTTGTCTTGTTCTCACTCAATGCTTGTTTGTCTTTCTTACTAGGCTCTAAGCTCTGGTGCCTATGCCTCAACTGTGTGACAGATAACAGGGGTTCAGTGAATATTTGCTGAGCAAATAAATGAGGTAACCAAGATCTATGTAAGTCATGAGATTATGGGCAAGGTAGGGAGGAGAAAGAAGGGGATGCTAGAAGAGAGGAATGGAAAAGAGAGAGAGGGGAGGGGAGGGGAGGGGAGGGGAGGAGAGGGGAAAAAGACTTGGAAGAGAGC